CTAAGTGTGTCGCAGGATACCCTCTAGGTGATAGTTCTTGATTACTTTTTGATAAATAATTCGTTCTCCTTGCGAAATAGGAGCACTATTTATCAACATATATTTTGCATATTCAACCAACATTTTTAATTTTCCTGATGGTTTATTCGTGTTAGTCCAGAGGGACGTGGAAAATGGATGGAGTAACACAAATTTGAATTTGTTGCCAACAGCATTTTTGGATTAATTAAACTTAAGGGCCTTTTCATCTGCGTCAAGCGCTCACGCCTATGAATTTCTCACACTTTTCATTTATCGATTTTGGTCAATATCTGAAATTTATGTTTCACGTCTACCCCGCACAGAAGCCGCATCTAATTGGAAAAGAATGCGAAAATAAGCAGCAAATCGGTGTCCAAACCATGAAAAGCGAGGGATTTATCTTCGCGCGTGTAATTTTTCACTCTAATCCGTTATGAGGCGAATGATCCCATCTAAATGGATTTATTTAGCGTTATTTTCGCACCAAACCTCATCCAGCGGGATCAGCGAGATGCCCACATAAATGGGGTATTTATCCCAAACACCGAGCATTCGGGCATTTTGCCCAAAAATTTGATTATTAATTTTTGTCTTTCGCACCCTTAGTGCTATCCAGAACCTCTTGAATAATTACTACGATCCAAAAAGCTCAAAATTGGTGTCAATTTGCTTAAAAATATGTGGAACAAACAATTTGTAATTCAATTGCGAATCATACACTCACAAGTTATGCAAAACTGGCAATATGAATCATACAGTGCACTTTCAGTTGATCACCTTTTCAGCTTAATTTGCGTATCTTATCAGGCAAATTCAGGGAACTCGAGGGCAATCGATTGGCTTGCAAATTCATTAATTTGGATATTCGAACACAAATAGACGCTTAAGTGCCCACACAATACAGCTGCCATCTAAAAAAACGCAATAAATCTAATAATACTCTGTTATCAAGCCCCTATATGTACAATGATAAGATTAGCGCGCTGTTGTGTTACTGACTCACCAGTTATAGTGGATAAAAAGTAAAAATTTAGATGAAGCACATTTGCGTATCGGAAAATGCTGAATAAAATCTAGCAGGAGAAGTTGAGGAAGTAATTAACGTTCCCTCTAAACGTCGGTTGAGCCTTTGACGATATTAATATTGAGGAAATGGGATTTAAGCTTTTGAGCTCAATAAGCGGGTGTAGAAATCCCGTAGTTTGCTGCCTGATTTCAGTGGCATTTACTAATACTAATGTGTTCATAAATGCCCAGATTTGCAGTTCAGAGGTGCAATAGTCATACTTTTAAGTGCAAAACGTATATTTTCCGCGACGAAGAGCCAAATAAATGCAGTTTGCTTAAAACGATTTATTTTCCCAACTGCGTGTAATTTTTATTATATTTTTCCCTTCTTGGGGTCCAGTCAAAGTGTGAAATACAAATTTTCATATCGTTTCGGCGAGACAACAGCGCCATCATCAGATTTAAAATTCATACAAACTCATAATTGGGAAATATTAGATTCTTTTAGGTCTTTGCTGTCTTGAAACCTCAAATTTGTTCGAATTATTGTCTGCGCAGACAATAATTCGAACAAATTTGAGGCCTGGGTAACACAGTGAATTTTGAGGAGTTGGCGCAGTGCTGCGCACATAAACTGGTGCGCCAACCTAACGCACCGGCGCAGTCACTCGGTTCGGTTGCTGGAAAAATGTTGATGATCTTATTTCGCTTGTTTGTTAGATTTGTTTTAACGGCCATCTATTAATAACATTTTTAGTTTCTTCAACATTTCAGAATTTTACAGTTTTAGCCAAGTTACTATTTCTTCTAAACGGTCAATTTTCTAAAGTTTTACTTAAAAATACTGACAATCTTAAGGTATTTTCTGCAAAAAAATATTAAATAAATTGGTTAGAACACTCGCCTCCTTCATCAATTTGTAAAAATGTTTTAAATTCCCGTTCCAGCTTCGAATTTGGGACAAAAACAAATTATTATTTTTTATCAGAAAACGAACAGAATAAGCGAAAGTTTATAATACATTATTTGGAAAACTCGTCACCCCCATTCCTCTGAAGACTGTAAAGTTTG